AGCCATTCCCCTTTCAGCCTATGATCAAGTGCTAGTGATGGATGGATTCTGACAAGTACAGGTTCAGCACAAGTTTGCTGAATGAAATTATGACGAAGACTCTTGGCTTCTTTGGTGTCCATGTTCTTTGAGATCAAGTACTGAATAAAGCAAATGTGAAGGCAGACCCAAGGGCTTTTTTCTCTGGGGTCTGACTTAAGCAGGATCTATTCCCCACGAGCCTTGTAGGACTGGTCACAGCTCATGGCCATTCCAGTAAGGGGACGAGAGAGCTACTTAGGAACAAGAGAGACCGTTGTAAAGCAGTCCGGACCCCTCCCACAAAGCAGGAGACAGAAAGGCCATGGATAGGTTACCTCCCCTGACTCCTCAGCTCCTGAGCTCACACCAGTGGTGGTCACGGGGCTTCTCACTGCCTCTCGGACAATGTTAACTCAGTCACTTGGTGAGACTAAGACCTTGGTCCTGGAATAAGCTTCCCCCCTGTGACCTGAACCCTGGATGACAGTGGAAAAGAGGAAAAGTTAAAATTTTACATAACCTACTGTTCCTTCTGCCTCTGTAACTCAGATGCTCCTTGCAAAGTCTGGATCACATAGGTCTCAGAAAGTGGGGACTCACAATACTAGGAACTGGGGCTTATCTCACCCAACCTTGTCCTGCTCTTTGCAATCATCCAGCCTCTACAAACCCACAAACCCACTTAATCATGCCTGTCCGTGTATAAAAACTCTGTAACCCCTTTGTTCGAGGCTCAGAGCTTGGCGTGTTGCCTCCTCTGGGCCCGCCAGTGTAATAAACCTGAGTTTTCCCGCTCTCTGAGGGTGGTTCTTAGTTCCTCTAGTACCGGTTTCTGCAACAACAGCTGGGAAAAGTTAGGAGCGTACTTGCCCTATGAACAGGGCCCTGCAACACCAGCATCCTCCAAGGGGCCTGCCTCAGTCGGCACAGGATGCTTAACAAAATGCCACAGGCTGGGTGGAATGTCTAGGTTGCATCTCTGGAGACTGGGAGTCCAAGGTCAGGGTGCCAGCAGGTTAGGTTCTGGTGAGGACCGTCTTTGGGTGGAGTCTTCTCGTTGGGTGCTCATGTGGAGGAAAGGGTGAGGTCTATCTGTGGGGTCTCCTTTGAGTGAGTGAGTGAAGCCGCTCAGTCGTTGTCTGACTTTTTGTGACCCCATGGACTGTAGCCTACCAGGCTCCTCCATCCATGGGATTTTCCAGGCAAGAGTACTGGAGGGGGTTGCCATTTCCTTCTCCAGGAGATCTTCCCGACCCAGGCATCGAACCCAGGTCTCCTGCATTGTAGGCAGACACTTTACCTTCTGAGCCATCAGGGGTCTCCTTTATAAGGCCTCATTTATTGGGGTGGGGGGGGCGCACTCTCATGACTTAAATCCATCCCAAAGGCCCTGCCTCTTAATACCACTATTTTTCGGGATTGGGGTTTCAACATACGAATTTTGTGGGGACAGAAACATTCATATCACAACAGGACTGACTGTCATTGTTATAGCATCTTCAGCAACTTGATGCTGAAAGTAATAAACATCTTCCTTGGGAAAAAGAATCACAGGTTAATTTCTGCCCTGAACTGTTCTAGGTGGGCTTTTAAAAAAAATACGCCTTTATTTACTTGGCTGAGCCAGGTCTTAGTCGCAGCATTCGGGATCTAGTTCCCTGACCAGGGATCAAGCCCAGGCCCCCTGCCCTGGGAGCATGGAGTCTTAGCTACTGGACGACCAGGGAGGTCCGCTAGGTAGGCTTTTAAAGTCAGCAGAAACTAAGAAGACAAAGAAGCCTGGGGCGCTGCAGCCCATGGGGTTGCAGAGAGTCGGACACGACTGAACGACTGAACTGAACTGAAGCTAAATGCTTCCACCAACCTCACTGGCCCATCTTCACGAGAATCTGGCCCCAGTGATCCCTGTCTTCAGGAGGATTTCTGCTGTAACTATGGGAGCACAGGCCGACCAGCCCCATTTCCTTGCTCTGTTAGCAAGATGCTCAGTTATCATTTGAGTTCAGTTCAGCTGTGGAATCTTCTAGCTGTAGCTTGGGCCCTGGAGGGGCAGAGACTTAATAGAGGCTGCCTTTTCCACATCCTGTAAGAATTGCAAAGATCCAGTAAGTCAACTTTTACACAATGCTTGGGGACAGGAAGGGTCTATCTGGGCTAAAAATGTACCAGGAAAAATCATGGGTTGTTTGTTCCTAGCACGGTGGCTTAAAGTACACCCCACTTTCCACCTTGATACCTTGTTAAAAAGTTGGAAAGTCTCTATCGGGGTGAGAAAGACAACTTTTACTTGTTCAGTGGGTGGTTTTTTAAAAGCCCTAGAGATTCATTCCCAACACAGGTCTATTCAAAAGTGTCAAAGACACTTACCGCTCACCCACACATGCAGGGAAGCCAGGAGACAGAATATAGAAGAAATTGGAGCCTCTGGGGTGGAAGGAGGAATTTTCTCTGTCACAGTAGGAGCCCTTCGCTGGGGTAATGTGAAAACAGAGCCCCTGTAACCTATCTCGTGCACCCACTCAGCGGGGGAGTCAGGCACGGCCCTGGGTTTTTCCTAACATTCAAGTTCTCAACAAAAACCTTCCTGAATTCAAAGCACTGACTGTGGCTGACATGAGACAATTATGGCTGCTAACTGTTTGCCATCCCAAACCAAGAAGTATTAAGTAGTTGAATAACTAGGCCACCTTCCTCCAAGCCTCTGGGCTTGGGACACACGGGATGTTCAGTCTCGTGGATGATACTGAGGTCCAGGTTTCTGCACTTCCAGCCAACACGGTGGGGTCCTGGACACCAGCCCCTGCAATCTCTGGCCTCACTGTCCACGTTGCTGGTGACCCATCTGGAAGGCATCATTAAACTTGGCATCTCCTGCAAGCTGAGGTGACTGCTGTCTCATTGACCCCTTCCCAATCAGGGTGTGTCCAGTTTCATTTCCAGTAACCTCAGCTCTTGACTCCAGGCTGCTGACCTTGTCTTCCCGCAGACTTTTGCTTGGCTGGCCCTTCAGCTCCCAGCATCCCTTGCTACCTGCAAAGGCAGAGATCCCCTGCCTTAAGGCTGATCCCACAGAAAACAGCCTTTGACCTTCGAGTCCCAGCCTCAGCCCTCGTGAGGAGACAAGGTCAATGGCCATGTATGTATCAGAGTGACAGGTTTGTTGCTGGGCTGGTCCCGACAGCAGACCCTCTCCTCACTCCTTTCCCTCATCACCCCAACCCTGTTTTTAATTTACCCCTTAGACTAATAATAAGGCTTCCGAGGTGGCACTGGTAAGCTTCATTATTAGTAAAGAATCCTCCTGCCAAAGCAGGAGATGCAAGAAGTCTGGGTTCCAACCAGTGAACACTCCATAATTTTCTCTGTCACAGTAGGAGCCCTTCGCTGGGGTAATGTGAAAACAGAGCCCCTGTAACCTATCTCGTGCACCCACTCAGCGGGGGAGTCAGGCACGGCCCTGGGTTTTTCCTAACATTCAAGTTCTCAACAAAAACCTTCCTGAATTCAAAGCACTGACTGTGGCTGACATGAGACAATTATGGCTGCTAACTGTTTGCCATCCCAAACCAAGAAGTATTAAGTAGTTGAATAACTAGGCCACCTTCCTCCAAGCCTCTGGGCTTGGGACACACGGGATGTTCAGTCTCGTGGATGATACTGAGGTCCAGGTTTCTGCACTTCCAGCCAACACGGTGGGGTCCTGGACACCAGCCCCTGCAATCTCTGGCCTCACTGTCCACGTTGCTGGTGACCCATCTGGAAGGCATCATTAAACTTGGCATCTCCTGCAAGCTGAGGTGACTGCTGTCTCATTGACCCCTTCCCAATCAGGGTGTGTCCAGTTTCATTTCCAGTAACCTCAGCTCTTGACTCCAGGCTGCTGACCTTGTCTTCCCGCAGACTTTTGCTTGGCTGGCCCTTCAGCTCCCAGCATCCCTTGCTACCTGCAAAGGCAGAGATCCCCTGCCTTAAGGCTGATCCCACAGAAAACAGCCTTTGACCTTCGAGTCCCAGCCTCAGCCCTCGTGAGGAGACAAGGTCAATGGCCATGTATGTATCAGAGTGACAGGTTTGTTGCTGGGCTGGTCCCGACAGCAGACCCTCTCCTTCTCACTCCTTTCTCTCATCACCCCAACCCTGTTTTAAATTTACCCCTTAGACTAATAATAAGGCTTCCGAGGTGGCACTGGTAAGCTTCATTATTAGTAAAGAATCCTCCTGCCAAAGCAGGAGATGCAAGAAGTCTGGGTTCCAACCAGTGAACACTCCAATGTTCTTGCTTGGAGAACCCCAGGGATGGGGGAGCCTGGTGGGCTGTCGTCTATGGGGCCGCATGGAGTCAGACACGACTGAAGCAACTTAGCAGCAACAGCAGCCTTCTGCCAAGACAGGTGATAAAAGAAATGTGGGTTCCAACCCTGGATGGGGAAGATCCCCTGGAGGAGGAAATGGCAACCCCCTCCGGTACTCGTGCCTGTTGAATCCCAGGGACAGAGGGGCCTGGTGGGCCACAGTCCGTGGGGCTGCGAAGAGTTGGGCACGGCTGAGCGCACACACAGACTAAAATTCAGGAGTCTGCAAATATTGAGGCCAGCCAAACAGGTGGTCCTGCTAGGGCTCTGGCAATGAGTGCCCCCGAGGTTCTAAGGAATTGGTCGATTCCCTTACGCTGGTATTACATCCTGGCAAACGGACAAAAACCTGGGTTTCGTTAAGCTTTCCATACCAATTTACCTTTATGCTGAGGAGAAAATTCATCCCAAAGGGTAATTTATTAAAAAACCTGCAAGTGTCTGGGAAGAGGGACTTCTGATGAAAGTGCCTTTTTAACCATAACTATATCGTGTCCTGACATTTATAATGAAGCCTAGAGCCAGAAATAGATTTTCCAGGAGCGCGGGACGTGTCCCCACAGCTAGATGAAGTCCCTTCTGCTCCAGCGGTGCCTGCGCCTAGAAGGAGTCTGGGGCCTTCCGCGTTGGTGTGGCTTGGGGGGTTTCCGGAACTGCTCTCGGGGTCCCCTCGAGGGGTACGGCGATGGGCACCCGAGACCACAGCCACACATGCGTTCTTGCACAGACAATACAGAAGGAAAATAATTGCCTCCGTTTCTAAGCAAGGCTGAACACTAACCTTTCACGGTCTGTTTTATTCTCCCTAGAAATTATATCGATTTGGTCTTTCGCTTTGTGATTAAGAGAGAATTTAGTTAGCAGCCAAGGCGCGCTGCTCACATATTTATCAGTGTTCTTGAAACCACCTTGACATCATCCGATGGAGAGTAGGAGCAGTTTGGAAAATTAGTTACAAGAAGCCTTGAAAGTTTCTGGGACTTGAAGAAAGCAGGCCAGGCCACAGAGAGGGCTCACAGGTCCTCCTTACCCGGTGGGAGCCCTTTAGAGGTTTTCAGAGGGGAGACTGAAACCCGTGAAGTAGCTGTGAGAAAAATCAGTATGCAATTCCGCTTTAAAATGGTGGCTTTCCGAATGCCGTCTGAAGAAAACACGAGAGGAAGAAATCGTCCGCTGTGAACCGGAGGCACCAGGGCTGGAGACGCGGGTGTTCCGTGCGCGACAGTGGCCACGGCGGGGGGCGCGGTGGTCAGGTGAGGGCCGGGGGGCAGTTTTCCGGTGACAAGCGGCCGTGCCGGGCTTTTGTGCTGATGCGGGAGAGCAATCGTCTCCCCTCGGAGGATATACAGGGCGAGCTGCTGAAGAGATGGAGGGAAAAGTCGGATCAGTCCCGCTTGGCAGAGAGGATGCTGTGCACAGAAATACCGCATGGATTAGAGCGACGCCATCATTCATGCAAAGACGGCCCGAGAGTGGAAAGCAGGATGCCACCTGCAGTGGCCCCTGGCCAAGCCGGCTGTGTAGACAGAGGCTGGGGGAGCGGGGCTGGCG